AAAGATGGATGTTTGTATATTATAGTATTGGAGGGTTATCTCATGAATAATTCTTTCATTGTTTCTGGTTGGGGTTATGCCCAGTTTTAGGAATTTTCAGAAAGCTATGTGAAACAAGGCATCTAGTTAAATTCTTCCCTCCCTGTGTTGCTTCAGATAACAAAGCGTTCTTCGTCATCTCCATGTCAGAAAATGGCGCTCATATTTATGAACTGGTGGCACAGACTGTTTCAGAAAAGAATGTGTAAGTAATCGGTTCAGCTCCATCTGCTGCTTGATTTGTTGTACTTGAGAGATCTTTTACATCTGCTTGCTTGTCGTAACTGTGCAGGTGTCCATGAATTACTTGAGTTCCTTCTCTAAGCTTAGCTGAAAACATAGCTATGTTGGCCTACGTAGGAGGATAGTCTCTCCCAACTTCTAAAAAACAGAGGGGAGGATGTATACACATGTTAGTGAGCGCATGTGTGTATATATACACGTGCATATGGATTAAAAAACCCTATACATACACTCAGTGCTTCTGTTGTTGTTGCTTGCTGTCTGGCTCTCTCCAACCCCTTTTCTGACCTCAAAAATGCTTTCCTTTACCCTTGCAATTCTGGTCTTACATGGCTGACTGCCACATAAATAATCCCGCATCCTCACGCAGAACCAGTTAGCCTTGCAGACTTTGATGTACTAGCATCATAAGCACCCCAATGCATGAATTTGATTCCCCAGCTAAACGCTTTTTCTTCTTCGGTAGAAATGCTTTTCTTCTAAAATATAAGCAGGGCATAGACTTATTTGTGCGATACGTAGCAGCTACTCTAGTGTGTCACATTATGAAACTCTTCAATAATATGTGAAATGTTACTTAATGCTTTTGTATATATTTATATATAAAATAACTGCCTCACCTGACAGCTCCTGCTAAGGTCCTGTCATTCATTTGCTTTTGCTGAAGAATATCCTGGTGAGGTGAGCATTATGCTGTGGTGCAAGATATTGTATTGAATGTAACAGAATTAAAAAATATATAAATGAGATATTTCTTTTGATAAGAAAAGCAGTAATAATAGTAGCTGGATTGAAGAGGTATTTAACTGAGAAGTATCCACGATGCTTCATGCCTTGCATGTTTTCATTTGATGTTTCTACTGCAGATGGCAGGACCTTATAGCTCAGATGGCAGGGAATGTCAAAATGGGGAGGACTAGAACAGTGATTCCATTACCACAGTCAGGACCTGGCGAGTAAGTAAAAGTATCTGGAGGAGGAAGGGCTGGTTTTTCTTTTTCCAGTACCCCTGGCTCAAAGATTGCCAGCCAAAGCACTGATGCTCAAGCAGTGATTCAGCTCTATGTAACTAAGAGAATGTGTTCATTCTTTCCTCCTTGCAGAGAAGAGCGTGAAGAAGAGGAGCAGCAGAAGCTCAAAGAGCAGCATGACATTCCTGCCAGTAGCCTACAAAGTCCAGGTAAAAAGAGTGGTCCAGGTAAATGGTATCAGTAGGTTTGCTACAGGGAGCGCAAATGTGCCAAGCTATATTCCTCGTGGCTTGGGAATCTTATGGTAGCTTTAACATTTTTCTGGAAATTATTTCTTTACAAGTCATGATAGTCATGAAGCGATACCGAACCTCTTGGAAATGTACCTCTTACTATTTCCATCCATTATGTTTCATAAATTGCTAGGAAGTATTCTTTTTTTTTCTCCTGGAAAGAATTGACCTTTACCAAGCCCATGCTCAAGAACTGTACTTTTTAGTGTTTTCAGAGATTTCTGTGTGAAGCAGAATTTTCTGCAGTTTATCCTCACATTTGACATAGTTGTGTAACCTGAATGTATGTTTTCTGTTTACTAGATAAAGATTTGGGTCTCGAATCTCCCTTGATATTGAATGCTCAGTCTTCTTCACCCATCATGTCTGAAAAGTCCAAGGTAGAAAGTCTCCTTGTGTCAGAAAGACAGTTTGATAAAGTGCAGCAGGCAGACCTGACACCTGGTTCTTCTGCATGCTATGAACACACAACCACCAGTTTACCGTCGGTATCAGAAGGGCAATGGGCATTGGATGCATTAAGGAACCGTGAGTATCTGTGGGCAGTGTCTGGTGGGATGTGATTTAGAGATGGAAATCGTTAGGTCACCATCTGAATCAATGAGCTAAAATACAATCTATAACCCATTTTTATTAACTATCAATTATCTCTGTGCTGTAGATCGCAGCATAGCAAAGCAAAATGGATCTGACAGCAAGGAATTCTAAGTTCTGAATTCATATACCGGCCCTTTCTTTGGCTTTAAGCATCTCATTGTTTTTCTGTGGTTTTCCCATGTATAAAATGATGGTGCTAATGAATTGTTACTTACTGTCCATGAAGTGCTTTGATGACAGAATTATATTGCAGAACTTTGCAGTGCAGTACAGTGCCATTGCTAGTCAGCAGTTTTTTAAAAGACAATGCAGTTAGCCTGTGGACTTATTTTTATAGCCCTGGAGCAGAATAGGAGAGGTTGCATAAGTTGCAGAATACGATCTTGCATATTTTTTTGTAAAATCCTGTAAATGTGATGGGATATATGTGAGCTTGACAAAGTCTAGGTTTAGATTTTCTGAGAACTTGAGATATAACTTGGATATAGTTAGATCAACACTTGTGTGTGTTGAAAAGAAATTTTCCTGATTATCCTGTAAAATTGTTTATAAAAGATTTTTAATCACTTGCTCTGTTTTCTGCTGTACCTCCTTTCAGAGGAAGAGTGCAGGGCTATGCAACCTACTTGATCAGATCCAGCAGTGCAGTTCCTAAACAAAACTTCCTAAAATTTGAATTAATTCATTAATCCATATATCTCTTCCTGGTAACTCTGAAATGGATGCAAAGTCCCTCAATTGCACTTGGAGGGAATAGTCTGTATTGCTGCTCTCTATGGGTCATTTGCTTTTACCTAAATGCGGAGCATTCATATCCTCGGCCTGAATTCCCTTTTCTGTCTCTCTCTACAAGTAATGAGAGTTTTCTGCAATCTAATAGTTTGTCTTGGACCTTTTGATCCTTTTATGCTTCTCCTCCTTAAAGCATTCAAAGTCCTTTTCTAATTCTGAATGCTGTACAAATGTTCTTGGTACTTGTTTTCAGAGACCAGTGATAAGATTAATCTCAGTCTGCAGGGCGCATAAAGCTAGTATTAGTGACCTAGCATCTCATGACTATTCAGACTTGAAAGAGCAGCCCACTAAAAGCAGCAGTGGGTCACTCGCGTTTTGACAAGAGCCATCACTTAGATGAGCGACTCTTCTGTTGTATGAAATCATAGCTCTTCTTGGGTGTTACCTGAGCATTATATGGCGAGAATGAACAGTGTTCTTATGCTCTTGACAGTATCGTATTTTTGTTTTGAACAATGTGTCCTTGTTATGAAGTGTTTGGTTGGGATAATTTGAGAGCTAAAGGAATGTGGGTTGAAGTTCAAACAAGCATAAATTTGCATGAAATTTTAGGGAAAATGTCTTCGATTTTTTTTGTTTGTTTTTTGATCTTTTATTTCAAAGTCAAGTGAAATATTCTCAATATGCTTGTTTCTCAGGTGGGAATCCCCTATTACAGCCATAGTTTTGAGTTCATTTGGGGATGTGGGTAAAACCCTGGCACTCACCTGCACTCCAGCTCACTTGCTGGATAATTTCAGTAGATGATTTCTCTGTTTCTCCCTAAGCAAGATGGAACTTATATGGTTATATTTGGTTTTGCTTGTAAGGTAAAATGTGGAGAGAGGCTTCAGACCTTATGTATTTATTTTTATCCCTATTTTTCCTACCAAGAGCAATGAGAGGGCTGGCTGCTATGAGATACACCTTTTTGAAAGGGTGGCCTTTATGTCTAGTTTAATCACTGTTAGGGAGGTTATAGCCTGTGAAACCTTGTGAACGTTATCTCTACTTGCAGTGGGCTTGCTGAAACAATTGTTGGTACAGCAGCTTGGATTTTCTGAGAAGGGGACCCTTGGAGACTGGCAGCGCTTTCCCAGGTTTAGGACCGTTTCTCAAGAAGCCCAGACAGAGAGTGGAAGTGAGCCTGGACTACAGCACTCTGACAGTAACAAATTTCACCAGCCTGGAATAGACAGAATGCTTCCGAGAACCGGAATGAATGAGTCCACAGCTAGTTATGGCCTCCGGACTTCAGCCGAATCGCTAGTTCCAGGAGACGTCATGCAGCTGACGGCGAGAGACCCCAGATCAAGTAGTAACTTAGCAATAGACCGCATGAGTATGAATCTGGAGGTCTCAAGCACAGAGCTGGAAGGGATGAGTGCTGATGAAAGTGGGGAGCATTTTTTTGATGCTCGAGAAGCTCACAGTGATGAAAATCCATCTGAAAGTGAACTAATGGAAAGGAAGGAGGAAGAAGATGTGCAAATACGGATCTCAGGTCGGTATATTTCATTCACTCACTGGATGATAGCGTGTCCAGATTCGGTATTAGAGACTTCAATTTTAAATAGAAGATGCTAAAGAAAATCACAGTATGTTTTCCTCTCTCGCTTATATGGTATAGGACCTTTAAAGTTAACTCTCAGAACTTGACAGTCATTTTAGCCCCGAAAACATGTACCTAATGAATTCTCTGTTTTATGAAAGGAGATGCTGAAATACTGTGGGGTTAATTAACTGTGACAGACTGTAATTACAGAGGCACAGGCACAATGCAAGCTTTTGATTGCGGTTGCCACTGGACCACTTCACCTCTCAACTGACTGTTGAGACCTGTGGGGAAAATGTTTTCCCTGAAGGCAAAGCACTTCCTTAGCCTGTACACACAGAGCCCCCCGTGACTCATGCTGTTTTGTAAATACTGTGTTGGCTTCTTCTGATCAAGCTTCAGAAAAGAAACTTGGAGTTTAGCTTTGCACTGTAGTTGTCTCCTGCAACCTCACCACAGTCTGAAGCTCTTAAAAGCTTATTATTTTTGGTATTTCTATTATTAGTAATACATAAGGTATATTTGACAGTTACCTGAGCAGCATCTCAAAGTATATATATTCTAGCCTTCAAGAAGGTTGTAGAGCTGTTAACTCAGCAGAAAACTAGCTCTAAGACAAGCAGCTGTGAGCACTTTCATGGGTCTTTGCACGCTTTGTGTTTGGAAAGTCCTGTGATTTTGATCGGCTGACATGGTGACGCTGCACTAAATTTAGCACAAAAGTTGAGGTTTATCTTATATGCGTGTTGTAGTAGTAGCAGCTACTAGTAGGTAAATTCTATGTGACCATTAGTATTGAAACCTCTTATCCATAAATATGCTTTTATTTAAAAATTGGATTCTATCATTGTGAATAAGCCAATTTGTGACTGTCTGAATGCTGCCTTCCAACTACATATTGAAAATAATTTTTCTTTCCCTGAATTACTGAGACATTTTGAATTATTAAAACTGAGTCAACAACTTGAAGCATCTAATTTATTTGTCACCTCTTATGCTGTTTACTTTCTTAACTGTGCAGGGACATCAAAATTAGATTGACCTGTTTTTACTCAATTCTGACTCCACATGCTAGCTTTCCTGTAATACTGTAGAGAAATTTATTCAATATAATCCTATTGCGAGGTGCAGGTTGTGAAAGCATTTCTATCTATAATTGCTTTATCTCCTAACATATCATCAGCAAGCCAAATTTTAATGCTAACCCATCTAAAAGCATCCACAGCACCATAGCTAGTTAGTGGAGGTTAGAAATCTAGCAGTCCGATTTGCCAGCTGCCGTTTGTGTAAGTGCGGGATTTTCAGACATTATAGTAGAAACACAGATTTTGGAAAAACATGAAGGTAGGTGATTAGCTCACCTAATCATGCAATTCTCAAACTACAGTCCAAAAACCAGCCACGATCTCTGAAGCCCGATTCAGAACCGTACTATTCTGGTCTGATATAATCACTATTCTGTATGGTGATCACAAATGCTTTTTCTTATCCGTTTTAAAATGTCTCAGGAGATGGGCCTCTCACCACTTATCTTTCTTAAAGTCTGCTTAAACTGTCTACAGTTCAGTGGTTCTTGGTGATTATTGAGCTGGAGGTGTTAGTAAAAAGCTGTTCTCCTAACAGGAAATTATTTGATCCTTGATGGATATGAACCAGTGCAGGAGAGCTCCACAGATGAGGAGGTATCATCTCTAGTTCACCAGTGCGCTGCAGGTGGCCGCACCTCTTTGGACTCTGCACAGCAGCAGCCACTTTCCCCACGGGACACCCAGTCGGATGGAGGAAGCTCTCCGTTTGCTGAGGAGATGATGGCCTCACGCTGGGGGGGAGTGGTGGAAGAGCCCTGCTCATTTGTAGCAAGCCCTCACTTCTCTATAGAGTCACGTGTGCAGATGATGCAGTATATTCAGAAGATAGAGGATGACCTTGAAAAGTTAAAGGTATGCTATGTTTCTATTTGCAGTATCAGGGTTTTCGTATCCCTTTGGTTTTGTTTTAGAAAAGAGTTTGAAAATAATTTTGAGGGGGAAGAAAGGCAGCCATGCCTTTTTATGTCTTCGGTTCTTATCTCTGGAAGCTTTTTGAAGCAGACACTTGGTGCCGTTTTGTTTGCTTAAAGTTGGGGGTTACAGGAGGCAAATAGTTCTGCTAGAGCTAGCGAGTATGTGTATTGCTGTGATTTGAATTTGGAGAGATTCCTGAGGGATAGGACAAATCTGATGCACGTCTGGAACAATGGAGTTTTGAAGGGGCCGCTGACCTAGGGAATGTGAATTCCTGACATAAAAAGACTTATTAAATCTGTTGCATACTGCTGCTAATGTCAAATGAAGGTGCTAAGTTGCGGTAGACCGATAATGAGGTTTTTAGCCTCGTTATAGTCAAAATGATTTTTTGTATGTGACAGGGATTCTTTATACATAATAGTCATGGCTGTAGAAGGTTTAGAGCATCTTGATATGAGACATACTAACACGTTAAGCCAGTAGCCAGCCTTTAATTTAACTGAAATCTGAAAAGAAAGTAGAATACTGCAGGCAAATGGAAGGCCTGGTAAAGATGCTGATAAAAGAGCTGAGATCCATAGTGGCTCACTGTGCAACACTGGTGATTCCAGCGCACTCACCTGTAGTGAAACTTCCCTTTTTCCATTTGAAGCCCTCTTTGCTCACTTGGTAAATGGAGAAAGAGCCACCTGAGTTTTGGGGTTGTTTTTGTTTTTTAGGAGGTTGAGGAAGACTACACCATTCTCCGACGCCAAGGGCTGGCTGGATCAGCCTCCACAGGAGAGCACTCAGGTACGCAACCAGACTGTCTATAATTGGTGGCATATACCATGTTAGCTTCAGACATTAAACAAAGCGCACAAAGTCAATTAGTAATGTTTCTCACACAAACACGAAAGGTTTCACCTACTTCAGCAGCTCTCACAGGGCTGAGACCATGCTGATTCCAGGAAAGGTCAGCTGAGTCCATGGAGACTCACATGTGCAGAGGAGCTTGTTCCTTCCTCTGAAAAGGTTGTTTGCAAGCTGACTCACCCCTACCTGCCAAAGACCTACATCTCAGGATGTACAACTTCTCTTTCAAAGAAGGCTAGATCGATGTAAAGTCCCAAAGGAAGAGTTTTGAACATGTAAAATAACTACAGTCTGTCTTTTCTTTCTCTGGGGTGTCTCTGCTATGTAAAGTGGTTGACATGAGTCCCTTTAAATTGACCTTAGGCATCCTAGAGATGTAATTGCTGAAATTACTAACAAAGATCTTAAGATTAAATGGGTGTACTGTCTCTCACATAGCACGCTTTCTCTGCTAGTACTAGTGTTCAGAAATGTTAGGCATTCATCTCTCATTGCACCCCCTCTCTCACCACCACCCTTTTTTTTTTTTTTTTTCTTTTCCTCCTTCAGAGTAAAGCTAGTCATGTTTTCAGGAGTGGCTGAAGACTGGATGAAGAGTGGCAGGACACAACACCCACTGTCTTCATTTTGGACTCTGAGACAAGAGGGCTTGAATCCAAACATGAACCATATTCTAGCAAAGTGGGCATGGCGTGTTTTTTCTGTGGGACATCTGCACTATCTTGTCAGTGAGGGAGTCTATTCTGCTCCTCTCCTTGCTACCAGAAATTCATTTTTCAGAACAGAAAAACCAAACCAAATGTACAGAGCTTTGGGTGTAGGATATAAAAATGTATTTAGACATTTAAAAAAAAAAAATCAATGTATTTATTTGACTTCATTCCGTGTATCAAAAGCACATTTTAATTTTTTAATCTGCCTTTTTTTTTTCTATTTTAATTGGGTAGTGACAGTTCTAGCCCTCTGCATATAGCACACCCTGCCTGCCGCTGCTCCTGAACCACAGGTCAGGTCAGAGGGGAGAGGGTGTGCCTATGTGCAGTGTATCTTTTCTTCACTGGACTGGACTCTGCACTCCCTGCTGGCAATCACACTGCCACGCGAAGAGCTACTTATGAAGGTGTTAGGATGACTTGTGGCTGGAACTATCTTTATTCAACAATTGCATGGGAACTGTTCTTGTCACCGCATGTGTAACAAGAATTTTCCACGCACTAAATAGCCAGGCACTTGAGATGGGCAAATTTTCTTTTTCCCCTCTCCCATTAGGGTTTCCTTTCTTGACATGCAAGATTAGACTGGGAGAGGAGAAAGATAGGTTTAATTTTTTTGTTGGCTTTGATCATTGTCTCCTTTGTAAAGTGATAAAAATACTTGGACCTGCAGCACTTTTGTAACTCTTCTCTGGATCAAAAA